CAGTATATAGTTTTAAAAAAAGTACACCACCGTAGACCCCAAACAGGTGGGACAACAACGAAGCATTCCCAAGTCCACATTTTGAGACATCAACAAGAAGGGAGACAAGAAGAGAGACAAAAGGAAACAGAAGGGAGACCAGACGGACACAATGGCCAACAAGAAGGCAGACAAGAAGGGAGACAAAAGGAAACAGAAGGGAGACAAGACGCACACAAGGCGACAAGGCGGACACAGTGACCAACAAGAAGAGAGACAAGAAGGGAGACAAAGGTAACAGAAGGGGGACAAGGCGGACACAGTGACCAACAAGAAGGGAGACAAGACCGGAGACAAAGGGAGACAGAAGGGAGAAGGCGGACACAGAAAGGGAGACAAGCTGGACGGAAGGCGGACACGCTGTCCCGCAGCAAGGCGGACACTCTTAGAAAGCGTTGAGGACCCCTAACAGCAAATAACCTGTTTGAGGAAGTGCAGAAACCACCTGGGAGACAAATGAATAGAAATGCTGGAAAGGGGAAAAGGGCGGAGGCCAGCAGCGCAGGCACCGAACCTGGAAAAGAAAAGTAATCAAATCATTTGGGAGGCAAATGAATAGAAGCGCTGCATGGCCAGCGGATTAGGGTGGACACTAGCAGGGCGCACCAAACTTGGGAGACAAAAGTAAAGAAACCACTTTTGATACAAATGAACGGAAAAGGGCGGACACCAGCAGTGACAGAAAGGGCGGACACGGTTTAAGAAAGAATTGAGAACCCCTAAAAGTACACTGATTGGGGAATGAATAGAAATGTTGCGTCGCCAGCGGAAAAGGGCGGACACAAGCAGTGACAGACCTGGGAGACAAATGAATAGAAATGCTACATGGCCAACGGAAAAGGGCGGACACCAGCAGCGACAGACCTGGGAGACAAATGAATTCAAATGCTACATGGCCAGCGGAAAAGGGCGGACACCACCCGTGACAAACCTGGAAGACAAATGAATAGAAATGTTGCATCGCCAGCGGAAAAGGGCGGACACCAGCAGCGACCTGGGAGACAAATGAATACAAATGCTGCATGGCCAGGGGAAAAGGGCGGACACCAGCAGTGACAGACCTGGGAGACAAATGAATAGAAATGCTACATTGTAGCTACATGGCCAGCGGAAAAGGGCGGACACCAGCAGTGACACAAAGGGCGGACACATCTTAAGAAAGAATTGAGAACCCCTAACAGTAAACTGTTTGGGGAAAAAAACAAAACAAAAACACACACACACAATGTGTCCTCTCGCGCATCTCGTTCTTTGAAGGGCTGTCTCCGACGTAGCATCTCTGTGAAGAGGTCGCTGCATTCAAGCAGCTGCCTAGGAACAAGAATCGAGTTTCACAAGCTGAGGAGACATTGTTGATTGTTGGAAAAGAACGTTTGTATACTGTAACACAAACTGGATAGTTGGCTGGTTGGTTGGGAAAGGAATATGATTGCTGCAAAGCAGCACTGCTGGCCCTCCCAGTGCACGTATTGGCATGACATAAAAATGACGAATAAAGAAACTGCCTTGTTGGCCAACCAATCTGACGGCACATGTGCGAACACTACATTCCGCAGGGTGTAGCTCAACAACATGGCTGTGACACGAAGGTGCCACTGCTTCTTTCTGCTGGTTGCAGCACTCTGGCAGGTTAGTAAGCGTCTGGTGTCCGTTCGTGTTACCATTGGGGGAGTGGGGACAGGGAGGCAATCCATACGCCATGTGTCAGAACAGCTTGTAGTTCAAAGCAATCTAACCTTGCACGAGGCACATCACGATATAGATCCGCAAGGTTTGCTGAGAAACCGCTGCACAGCGCAGCTGCACGATGTTTGGATGGCCTCCCAAGCATCCCAAGATCTCCGGCTCTTGCAACATCCGCCTCACATAGCTTGTCATCCCGAGTCGGTTTCGCCCCTCCCGGATATGGTCAGGTGCCCAATTCAAAGGACGCCAAAGAGACTCCAAACTGCACAGAATGGGACTCGTTATGGTTTCGTTATGGGCCGTTGGCACTAGGCGTGGCGCCCACCCTACAGACATCGAGATGGAAGCATGACATCATGACGTCATCAAACATCTGATTCATGGCTATGGTGAAACCGTGTTTTTCCAATTGAATTCTTTATATAACTGCGATCCTATGAGACTCCGGTCACCATATTTCCACAAGCTTTGAAATCTGAAAGAAAGTGTGCTTCAAAGGTGTGCAACAAGCAAGAAAGGATCGGTCATTCTCATGTACAAGTGCACGAGGGTGGAAACTAAGTAAAGTCAAGCTCATGACAGGGCCAAGGACAAGCACCTTTTTTGGATACTGTTCTGTCCCTGGATAGACAACGACTTGTCGAGATACCGCAGCACAATGTCCTGCGAGCAGTTCGTCATCATCGCAATCCTCTCCTCAATCAAAGGAGCACACAGAACGGCACTCTGTCTCCTTTAGCAAACAATGAATGGAGAACGCTTGAGGGAAGGTGTAGTGGACAAATGCATGTGATTCATCGCAACTCACTCAGACTATTCACTCCAGCACAGTGTGTACTCTATTTCACAAGTTGTGTTTCACAACTTGATCGGCATTGTTGAGCAATCACTGTCGGATGCAGCAGGAGTTTGCTGTAGTTGGCAGAGGATTTAGAATCCAAACTCACCAGAGTCCCGTCGAACACTATGATGAAACCGCCAACAACGCGGAGAAAAGGGCAACAATTGGGCAACTAGGACTTGGAAACAGGCTGTTGTTGCATGGCCAATGACATTTATGTTAATGCAAGGTATGTCATGAGTTTGCGCAATTCTAGCAGCCCTCCGCGCCAGGTTGCTGTGCTCAGGATCTTCACAGCAAGCTGATGCCCTTCGCAAGAACAGCGATAAACAGAACCAAAGCTGCCTTCTCCTGAGCGATGGCAGAATCTGAAGTCAATCAAACTCTGAGTTCTGAATTTCGCCAGCAGTTCTGAATTTTGCCTGCAATTTTCCTTGCTCGACTCTGAACAGGCTGACCAATGGTGCTCCTAGCAGACCAGAGATGACAAAGCGCTCATTGTTGATGGTAAAGCCTTCCTGCAACAGCCAAACAGCTGTGCTGCACCGTGCCCTGTGATGACATGCCATAACTACAAGCTCCCCATACTGTCGCTTGTCCGACACTGGCGCGGAAAGTGCTACAGTCCTTGATAGGTCATGAATCCGTTCTGTCATCTACTCTTTCTCCAAACATGTCTTCGTGGTGCCTCTGATTCATTGGTTGCCCAGGTAAAGGCACCACCCAGTTGCAGCTGTAGAAGCTGAAGCCACTCCTCAACAGCAACGAGAGCACCAAACGTGAAAACGATTAGGAGTGGGAAATCTAGATGCAGGGGACGGGGAAGTGCTAGGGGTAAGGAAAGGGTAGGATATGAAAGAAAGGAAAGAAAAACAACGAAGAGCAAATTGAAGATAAGGGCTCCTTTAATAAGCCCGTTTTGACATTGGGATTATGTGGTTTATTGACTAGAGGGGGAAGGAGGCCTTATCTTGAATTGTTTGCTCTTTTATCGTGTTTCTTCCTTTCCATCGAAAACCAATTACTGTAAGAAAAAACGACAACCGAACGAGCCAGACCGTCTGAGTATGCAAAAGTGAACAACATATAGACATAGGACATACAACACAAGAACAATCTGCTGACCTAGGCTAGGACCGAGGAAGACCCAAAAAAACAGCATAAACAGTGCGCACACGTTGCACATCGCCATCGCCCTCTGTGCCACTGCGTGTTGCTGTCTAGAGAGCCACGCTGCCTCCGGATTGCATATGTTTTGCAATGCCTTCTTGAACTGCCAAACAAAGCAGCCAAGGAAATTGCGGATCTTTTGCATGGGTCATTGGCTGCAAAAAGCGGTCCCAAACGAATGCGTGTAGTGGATTGGCGGCAGGCTGCACAGTGTCTTCCAAAGCCAAAGCCTTCCTTGCTGAGACTCGCTCAGCTTCGCTGTGGCGCGCCACGACCTTTCAGCCTGGTGGAAAAGGGTCGTCCTGTTCGATGGCAGTGTGTGGAGGTGACGATATGTTGATAATACTCGTGAAGCTGACTTTGACTTTTGACAATCTCAGCATTTCTGCTGCTACTACGGCAGTGATGCAGTTGGCTAGCGCGCCATTTCAACAACAAACAGGCATGACACCATTATTCACTCAAGCAAATGATTCCAGCTCGAAGTATGAAAATGGAAAATGATAAATGACTTACTAGAAGGCAAGGAAAGTAATTACACGGGCATTTCTTTTTGCGGCTTAAGAGCTGCGCTTCCAACTGGGCTTGAATAGCCAACTGGTTGTTTTAGCCTCAGCATTTGTCCGCAATTGGCCACGAACAGACTGAAGTTTTGAATTCCGCACTCAACGTACGGTCATAGAATCACACAGATGAGTTTGAAGCTTGAGACTCACTGTCATTTCCGTGCTACCGAAATGGGACATCCGAAACCTCAATTCTCTCACTTGGCGTCATGTCGGCAAGGAGCTGATCCATCCAGCCACAGCTTCCGCAAATCACCCATCAATACGGACACCAAACATGTCTCGTATGTTTGCATCTAGTACAGCTAGAGCCACAAATGTAAGCTGACGTGCAGAAAGCTGTCAGATGGTCAAGGTGATATCAACGTGATTTCCGCGTGTAACAGGTAGGAAATTTCAAGTGCGGCCCATGGATTGACCCCAAATTTTTGGTAGCGGTTCTGCAAATCGTCCTCAGTGCAGCTAAATCCCAGAACAAAGTTGCACAAGACACATCTAGAATCTAGAGGGTCCACCTTCGGGCCTGCACCTGCTTCAATTCCATACATCCCAAGTCCGCAGAACCACAGCCACGAAAAATGTAGAGTCAAAGCTTTACTAAGGCCTTCGGTGTCAAATCTTCACTCGGTAGAAAAGCGTAACAGTTAGACAGGTTTTGTTTAGAACAGAAAAGTGAGACCATTCACTCAGGCACCAGCAGCAGCTGGCGTCAGGCGGATCTCAGCATAGAGGCGTAGAGTACAGTAGAATATGTGCAAAAAAAAATTGGCTACTCAAGTTTGTTGGTGTTGCTAGCCGGTTGAGTGTGACACACACACAATGTGAAAAGGGTCCAAAGCCGAAAAAATGGCACCCTAGACAGTAAATGTTCAAAGCAAACTCTACGGCGACACAATTGAGTGGTAACACTGCTGCTTACAGGTTGCTACCTTTACAGCTGATGCTGAGGAAAAAGCATAAACACACAACTAGACCGACTGCCTGGCCACTTTGTGATGCTAATGATGCACTTTTCGACCTTTTTGGCATCACTCGCATCACCATGGCCCTTACAAACATGCATTTTGTCTACTTCCCTACCCGAAAGGTACAGTCTCGCAACCACCCCCACACACACCCGAATATTCACTTCGTTCGTTTAGAAAAACAAACATATATATATATATATATGCACACCTCCTTCAGCGGAATCACTTGCCCCTTAAAAGGATTGCGTCACTTGGTTGTTGCTACCTGGTGCTGGATTTGTCGTGTATGGTGGCACAAGTTCAACCTCAAAATATCTGCTTTGTTGCCAAAAGTCTCCAAGTAAGTGGGTCAAAACACCTTGCTCTGCACAATGAAAACATGAGGAAATGTTGAAATTGCCTGTGTCCAAAAGGACTGGCTTTCGGGTGACTACGGTGACTACACTACACAGATACACCTGCAGGTTTAGGAATGGGTGCACATCCGACCATCGATGCTCATCCCGCATCTAAATCCATTGAACTCTTCGCATCGGATGCATCCAGTGTGCAGGCCAACGGTGTTGGCCAACGGTCAATGCAACACTTCTAATCAGATTGGGTGCCTTGCCTTAAAACCAAGAAACCAAAAGCATAGTGTTGCAAACCAAACCACTATATGACTATATACCATAACTTTGGGAAGTATCACAAAGCTTCACATCTGCTACTCAGGCTGCACGCATACGCCAGCCACTAGCATGCGATAGGTAGCAAGATTCAGGGGGACATTGTGGCTAAACCAGTTCAGGGACATTTAACCTGCCTGGCTAGGTCTGAAGGAAACTGGTCTGCCAATGACCCTGTTCTACGTACCACACCAGCAGGCAGGAAAACACCACACATCTGTTGTGACGAAGCTTAAAGGAGAATTGGCTGTGGTTCACCGACCTCGCAGCATGCGGCATGCTCTGAGCCAAGCGTCGCCATGCAAACTCACGAGTGCCTCCGCAAACTGGGAGGCTGACAGCTCGTCACCTGCACCGATGACAGGCACCGGCACCACCCGATCAGGCCTCCTTTTTTGACCGAAGTCCCGTTGGACGCTGGGACCAACGAAGTCCCTGCTGTGGCTTAGTCAAAGCTGCAACAAGTCGGCAATTCTGTGCTCAGAATCTGGCGCATGGTCATAGCAAACAGCTCATGGACAGATGGTGGACTGTCTGGCACATGGAAAGGCCAAGAATCGAACTGGTCGCGGCTCGATTCCTAAATTAAGATGAGTGAAGCGGAATGATGTATATAAGAACTGAATAGAAGCCGGCTGAAAGGATTAAAATCTTTCTGGACTATCTGAAAATCGCAGTTGCGGACTGCACTGGCACAAACCTCCTAAGACGGCCCAAGACGGCCCTTCCAACGGCCTAAGACGGCTGCAACGAACGCCTGTTCTCTTTGTTTCACCCTCGCGTGGGAAGATGCGCTCAAACGAGTTTTGGCCTCGAAACATGTCGGCAGTCAGAAAGACTGGTTGAGCAACAGCCAGTCCATGCACAACATGTGAGCAAGCTGTGCAAACCTCATGTTAGGCCCCTGGTCTTCATAGATTGAGGCTCGGACTGCGCGCCATCAGCTAGAGCTCGGAACTCTTTCAGGTTGGTTTACGCTGTATCAGGTGGCCTTGCTGTTGCCTTGATTTGTCTGGGGTTGTTCGAGACAGGCTACTGGTTTCCAGCCAATGCTTAGAGGCTCCAGTACTGCTGGTTGCTGGTTTGTGTGACATGTGGATGTTCGGTGCTGTGGAACTAGAATGGACTGCTGAGTTTCCAGTGTTATCTTCGGAGTAGTTATAGGAGATTGCAAAGAGAAAGTTCATATCGTATCAAATAATCAATGGCCATTGCATCCAGCAGCCAACCATTTCAGGAGGTACATGGATGGCAATGCAAGCGATTCAACCTGGTAGCCCTGCAACTCTCACGCTCGCAAATCCGATGTGCGTCCAGCTCGTCTGAACGTGCGTCTGTGGTACTGTACCTCTGAGTCGGACTCAATTGATTGAAACGTTGAACCCAACTGACATTCTGTTGGCTGTCAAATCAACCACCAAAAGCTACCTCGAACCATTGGACAGCATACACACAGCATACCGCTACACTCCAAATATGTGAGTTCAATGCATCTGAGAACATTTTGACGAGGCGCTGCAGATTCTTTGCTGCTTTACCACAATGCAGCTGAGGGAAGGCAAACTGTGAAGCTGCAAGAGTGGCAAGAGTGAAAGCTGTTGAGAGTGGATGATCTCACTGTGGTCACTTGCTCTTTGTGTTTTGGACCCATTTGCCTTCCTCTGCTGCGAAGCCTTGCGAAGCCTTTTAGCTGAAGTGTCCGCCCAAAAGGTTTGGAATGTTTACAAACTGCTCACCTACTGCAAAACAAAGCAAAAACTATGGAAGTTTTGAGCAAAACAAAGCAAGGATTGACTTCTGGATTTGACAGTTGAGGAGATATTGGTTCTGCGCGAACAAATGACGGCGATGTGGAAGTCAACCAACGTCTCTGATTTCCCAGTGATCGCTCACAGTTGCAATGTTGCCATGCCAAAGCAACCAAACTCTGAAAACCAGACCAGCTGGCCAGTGGCAGACCTCAAGTGGTTTGTTGCCTATCAATTACACTACCCGTTCGACAGAACCAGCACGCTTCATTTAAAGGCCAGTTGGAGTACTTAGCTAAGAAACATTGAAAATTTGTCCACAAGTCAGTAGAAATATATATATATATAGTGCTAGTCAATCAATCGTCAATGAAATGCTGGTAGCAGCGAGGTATATAAAGGTTCTTGGTCCATCACTGACCAATTTCGGGGCTTGGCGGCCTTTCCATTTACCTCCAGCATCTTGTGGCGAGGTAAAGGAGATGGATACCGAAGATATCCAGTTCTCTGTCAATCTTTGGGACAAAGCCCTGCATTCACAAGTTGTAGCTGCTCGAGAGCTCCCTTGGACACAGTCCAATTACAGGTTCCTGAAGCGTACCCTAAACTTTCCTTCTTCTCACTCTGCATCAAGCTCCGGGAGTACTGTGACAGTGACCCTCTGTTTTGCCAAACAACCCTGATAGCCCAACATGCTTTTGTTGCCACATGTGGACGTTCAAAATGGATTTCCACCGTTTCGTAGCAAACTGCTTGTGCTGTTTGTCACTTCCAGAATGGAAACTTATCCTCAAGTGTACAGGAAAGACCAAAGGAAAAGGAAAGTGTAAGCTATAGATGTACTGTAAACCATACTCTGGATTCGGCATCCATGAATTAAAGCGATGCAAGATCAGCTTGCAACATGTTGTTGCTCCTGACCACAATATATATATATATAGTGCATCAAGAAACTCCCTAGCATGTATCAAAATTAGATTTAAAAAAGCTCAGAAAGGCTTGTCTATCAAAAAAGCTCAGAAAGGCTTGTCTATCCTTTTCGTAGCTTTTCTATCCTTGTCTCTTGGGTTTTTGCATCATTCAACGGAGGTAAGCGTGGGGGCCGATCACTGATTTGCACACCGTGACCACTGATTCAATCAGGCCGATGTCGGCTTGCACGGTGAACAACGATTTTGGGCCAAAGCTGACTATCCAAGTTCTTCATTCTGAGAAAACAAAGTATTTCATGTTTAAGCGGAACACAGACTCTACACTGTTGTTGGATAGTCACGCAACAGCGTAAGCAAGAGTCACTTGGCAGCCAAATCTAGCTTGTCACCTTTGCCACAGGCTACGTGGTACTTCTGGCAGCCTCAGTTCACCAAGTAAATGTGACATCATTCCGCATCCTGACAAAAGACTTTTGGAGGTGTTTCATTGCCTATCTGCAACGAGGTGTCTGCTGCAACAACGAACACTTTGCATGCTGAGAAACAGTACGCCGCCCTTTTCGAAGACCAACTTTCCTGCCAGTGGTTGAAGTCTGTGACGCAGTCGATGGCCTCGTGAGTCTTGTGAGTCGTGAGAGTCTTGTGACTGCCGTGCGTTGCCCAAAAGGCATGGCCAAGGTGTGACCAGTCAGCCTGGCTCCAGTGGCCAAAGTGGTAGTGGTGCACATGGTGCAAATGCTGCAAATGTGCAGTTGGAAGACTGTGAACTTCCTGAACCCAGCCAGAGGATTTATCAGGACATCCAAGCTTGTATTTCTTGCAGCAGAAGCCCTTCTTTGTGTCCGACCATCCAGTCTTCCAGGACTGGTAGCCTGCGGTGCAATCAAAATCATCTGCACCTGATTCCGATGATTTGTCCAGGTCCACTGGTGAGGTATCCGCTTCCACTGCCTCAGGACAACCAATTGAGAACTTCTTGCAACACCAATCCTTCTTCTTCGAGGACCACCCGTGCTGCCATTTGCTGTATCCTGCCAGGCAATCAAACGGACGTTCTGCTCCACAAGCTACACGACGGTGCTGACAGCACCACATAATTTTTGATTCCTCGGATGAGGAGTGCTAGTGGCTTCGTGGCTCTGGAAACAAAAGTACTCTCCGCTCTGGATGTGGGCATGCAGCTCACATACTGTGGACCGTGGCATCTTGCGGCGTTGTCGCCTGCGCTTTGATTGAAGTTTGGAGCAAGCTGGGTGAAGCCGGCTCGGTTATTGCCTTCCTGGTTAGATGGGGCGCTGGTACCTAGTTGTATATTGGACATACAAAACATAAGATCAGCCATGTCTCTGACCAGCCATGCACCTTAGAGCTGTCGCTACAGTCATAGGCATCGTTAGGAGGGCATCCACGGCCATAGTTGCTGCAGCACCACTCCCTGAGAAGCAAATAAGCATAAAGAAGCATAAACATGGAATTGTGCCAGCAAGCAGCCAGCAACAAACCAGTCTGCAGAAAAAAACAAGTATATAGGCATCTTTGCATGAACGGCATGTAGTGCAGCTTTGCAAAGCTTTGAGAAGTCTTGACAAGAGGCTGCTTGTCTGATGGCCAGAGCATTTGCCAATGGGAATAGCCAGCCTTGCAGTCGAACGACTCTGACCTGCAGGAATGGATGGCATGGTACTGTCATGTACTGTCTATGATTCCTAGGCCGCTTCAACCAAAGTCTCGCCTGCAATGGCCAGCAGGGCAACAATATTCCCGCTCAGCTGGAGACCTTGTAAGACTTTACTCTAGTTCATCTGAAACTATGACATGCCAAATTGTCACAGCACGCAAACTCCTCCCAAATCAACAAAGGTTGGGTAGAATGCCAATAGTAAAACAAAAGAATTGGCTCAGCAAGCAATGAACATGGATACACTTCCCTGGTCATCTTCCAGGTAGTCTTGTCGGATGCAGAGTGGGTGCGGCTCTCCATCCAAATGAGCCTTCTAGAAAGCCGTACATAGGGTCCATGACAAACCTGCAGACTTGCGTTCCTACAAATTTGTCCATCCTGCTTCATAGGTAAAGGGTATGGATTTATAAACCCATGTAATTTTCTTATCAAATCTATCTATCCCAAAGACTGGCCTTAAACACCGGGAACCCAACTCGCCACAAGGTTGGAGAGAGCTCACTTTTCGCGTTTTCAATTGGAGAGGTACTTGCAGGATGAAAATGCCGGTGGTGCAAGTCACATTCGAGGCAGAATGTTGATGCTGGTGCTAAGCATGCTTTGGATGGCCTTTGTTCAGCATACGCTGGACTGAGCCCTGCCAGCACTTACTTGACGGACTTAATTTGCCATATTATCGAACTCGCTGTGGAGATAAGCCATCTGGATTGCGTGATCATGCAAGATAAAGCCCACAGTAGATGCTGTCTTTTCTGGCCCTTGAAGACTTCTCCACGTTCCCATCCCCGGATGAGAATTCTGGAGCTCGCTTTGGCAGAGCAGGGGTAGGAAACACGTTACTGCGACAGCTGCAAGCCTGACATTGCGGAGCAGCTTGTGTGAAGTGAGGTCCTCCTTTCTTGTTTTACAAGATGCTTGCCAGTGAGACGTTGCTGTCCAATCTCCGTAGCTGCAACATGTGTGAGGCAAAGCAACAATGCTGGTGGCCTTGTCTTATGCCAAAACAACTTTCAAGCATGTCGATCTCGGATCCAGAGAAATGACTACTTCAGATTCGCTCAAGTTGTCGCAAGCTGGACACAGAGGACAAGGCACAACACGAAAGAAGAACGCAAGCAAGGGAATGTTCGACATGGAATGGACAAAGGCAAATGCATCACTGCAAGAAAACATTCTGTGAGAAGGTATGAAGCAATTGTGTTCTAAGTGAAAGGCCAGAAAGGCTCTTGGTGTCGATCGCAAGAAAAATGTTCCTCACAGCCTTTCTTCGCTTTTGCACAGCACCTTAGAGCATGACAAGAGGACCTGAGGACCAGTCAAGGACCAGTCACCGTGTGTTCCATTGCAAGTCTTTGGATTCAAATGGCCCCTTGACTCAACATAGTAAGTCTGAAATGATGACAATTTGATGCTTGTTGCACCATCTTGTAGCAATCATGTCCTGCAAGTTATTCTTGGTGCTTGTGCATCTCAAGTCTGAGCAAAATTGATGATGAGTCCCTGTATTTAGGAGTTGAAAGAAATCAGAGATCAGCTGCTTCCTCTCAGTCTCAGGTCTGACATGAGCATGAATCCAAACCAGTATTCCATCCCAGACAATGAGTTGTTCATTGAAGTGTTCATCTACTTTTTTTACTTTAATGGCTCTGTCCCTTTCTGGAACCCAGTTGCCAGGCTTTCTTCTTTGGTGACCAGCTCCTGAAGAAAGTGCAAGGTGAGATACTTGGTTTGATTATGGAATGTTCAGACCAAAACATGTTCAATAGCCTTCTTGTTAATGCCAAGGCAAAAGAAAAGCCAAGCAAGACCGAAGGCAGTTGAAAGCCTTAGCATGCTATACATTTGCCGATGAGATGCCAGCCTCTGCCAAGTGGAGTAGCCCTCCAAGCAGTCGTACTTGACCATTGCATGGCCGGATGATTCACATCCCACTTGCTCATGATGGCAACACCATGCCTGTCAAGCAATGAGCTACCTGCACCCATCACCGTGGCCAAAAATGCATCCTGAGCTGCTTATATAACTTTGACCCTTGCCCCGTGCCCCAAAAACTGTTGATCTGGAACTCCTGTTTGTGGGCTTTGCAGGAGGACCACAAGGATGCACGGAAAAGTGCCCAAAAAGAAAGCATCAAGAGCATCGCCAGCTTCCACCTGCTCTTTCCACCGCATCAATGCTGATGTTGCATCAAAGATCAAGACTATTGAAAGGTCCTATGGCATTATGGGCCTATGCAAATGTCATGCTCAGCTGCATGCCGCAGCCTATTCCCTTTAACGAGTCTGTCCCCTCACTGCCGCTCACCCCAGCACCTTTCCCCAGAAAACAACCCTCCTGATTCGTCACATCAAAACGCATCGGTATGACCTTAATGACAGAACAAGTCGCACCAGGCGTTTGGGGGGGTGTCCACTCCCAAGGAATGGGAGAACGGCCAGCCAACAGTCAATCGTTCGTTCTTTCACAAAAGAATAGTCAAGTTGAACTGTTCGGCCCCTCTTCACTCACTCGCTTCTCACCTCTTGAGTCACTTTGTTGCATTTGTGCCGTGCCTTCTTCAGGCTTGACCACAATGAGGCTCCTTTGATGCCAGCCTTGCACTGATGCAGCAAACCCCAAAGAGCTTAGTAATTAGTTGCGAGTTTGCTGCCAGATTTCTTAACCAAGAACAACAAAATGTGCTTTTGCCAGAACAAAAACTAAGAGCAACTAAGCCGGGTCTGCCTTGCAATCATAGGTCTTTGAGGTCTCCTGTTACTGCGGGTTGCTATGGCCAAGGTATGTGCATGTGGCTCTTCCATTTGCAGGAAAGTTTACTACGCCTTCCTGTCCCTTGCCATCTAGGATCATTGTGGAGCAGGCACTTTCTGCTGTCTGTGTCATCGTTTAGTGTAGTCCTTTGCGCAGCCTGTGGCGAAATGATTACAGCACCATGTCTTCTTGCCTCGAGAAAAGCATTCTTCGTTTGGGTCGCACAAAGTGATCATTCCCTTTGCACTCAGGGCTTCTGAGAGCAAATTCCGACAAAGGACTCTCAGACCATTTGGCGGAGCTCGTCTGCGTCTCGGCCTGGCTTGTCTTGGATTCATGACTGTTTTGAGGAATGTGTGCAGAAGCGAACTTCACGGCCTTGCAGTTGTACGGCATCTTGTAACTTGGACACCCAACTTTTGCATGGAGGCAGCACCACTCACGACGCTCCTGGAGGCCACGTCCCGACAGGCAACTATATAGACTCTATTTACTTTAGTCCAAGTGCAGAAAGGCTGAAAACACTTGCAGTGCTTGGAGTGCTTGCAATATAAAATCAGGTTGTCGTTAAGTGTCCTTGGTCCAAATCAGGGGCTGGTTCACACTGCTGGTGTGGCAGGTGAAGTTCTTCTTGGACTGGGCACAGCCCTGTGTGCAGAAGCGCAGAGTAGGCAAGTATGCTCAAAAGCGCATAGAAACTTCTTTTGAAATCTCTTGAAGGTTCTTCAAGTTCTTTATCTTGAACGCAATGTTCAAGCCCTTTCAGTTGTATATGTACTGTAGTGAAACAAGCCCTCGTCCATATTCATCTCATGTTGCAATAATATCAGGTGAAGTTGCCTTGCCAACGGTTTCGCAGCAAAAGGACTTCTGCTTGGAGCTCCACTTGTGTTCCCAACCATCAGAGACCTCTGTGAAACGCTTTGGCTGAAACAAGATTCTTCCAATACTCTATATACATATAACTATATATACATGTCCTGCGTATGTATGCCCTGCAAACACACTACAGCACGATTTGTTTTCACTCTGGACACAACCCAAGTCCAAATTCACAACACAGGTCGCCTTGCAATCGAAGTTCATGAGCTCACAGCCGATTCGCTTCACAGCACAGCAATGGACTTTCATCTCATGGGACCATTGGTCCATGGAACTTAAGCCTTCAAAGGATGGCAAATTTCACAAGCAACGCAAGTGGACAAAGACCGCAAAAGGACTCACCTTTTTATATCCTTTCTCACGGGCAAAGACTTTCCACACTTTTTCACTCCTCTTTCATCATTTCATGTCATTCTGTGTTGCGTCCATGTCCGTCTGCTCCTGTTACGTGTGTCGTCATGGTTTCAATATGGTGGTTTGAAAAAGGAGCCATAATCGCACAGTTCCAAATGAGGAGACAGTTCCTGACCATTCGGATCCCCCACTCCCAAAAGCGCCGCGCCTGCTTCACAGTCCTTGTCTCCAACCTTGCTGAATTTGAAAAGAGAGAGAACGGCGGTTCTCTATCTTTGCTAGAACAGGTTGGACGCCCTCTTAGGTTGGAGGCCATTTACTATTAGGTCGGAGGCCAAGAGGAAAAACAAAAGATGGGAAGCAGGCTTTTGGTTCTTCCTATTGTCCTATCTTTGTTTTTCCTTAGGCTGGGGAGGAGTAGCGCTACTTGTAGCTAGTTTTTCGTAGTCCCCTACTAGTATAGCAGGGCGCAGGCTACACCTCAGGCTTAACGATTTGGTTTCTAGATTTTTGGGAAAATGCACTGATGCATATCAACAGCATGGTGCTACATACCTAAAAGTTGCAACAACACTAAGAAGCTTGTGCTTAACACCAATGTTTCCACAGTTTACCCACCAGCAATCAGACTCTTCTTAGGTAAGAGGCTGTTCAGATGATCAGGACAAACATGGTGTACAGCCAAGTCGCAAAATGAATTGATGTCACTGGCTCAACCGCAGGATAATGTAGAGCATGTGCAAATTCCCCAGGAACATAGTCCTTGACTTGACGTTGAAAATCTCGCTTCGTGCGTGGTACTCAAGGTGAAAGTCTAGTAACTGAGCCACATCGAAGTTTGGCCGATCGGGTGTCCCTTTTCACTTGGTGTCCCATTCATCTACCCCCTTCATCTCCCCTCAACACATCTTTTGTCTAGTGTCAGGTCTTGGCTTTCAGGTCCTTTCATCCGTCTTACTGTGCGTTTACATGCGCTGCACCCCTGCAAAAGCCGTCAAGACTTCCGCAGGAAGGAAAGTTGAGTTAACAGAATGTCCACTTTGGCTTGACGGGCAGGTACTTGGAGAGCAGGCAATCCGACAGGGAGTGGGACAACCTTGCCAGGTCTACAACGATGTTAGGACATCCCGATGGAAGGGTCATGCGCTTTCGGAAGCCTGTCGGGAAGCAGGAAACCCGTGCAAAGTTTACAACGGCTCCTGATTGCAGAGTTTCCACATCGGAAATCCCTGCCCCTGCAAAGGTGCTGTGTGTTCCGGTGGCACACAACAAGTTCCTCGTATGCTCCTAGGACATCACTAAGGACGCTTGGTGACGTACCTGCATTTTCCAAACCCGTTCACGTACATGGCGAGCGGTAACCGCACTATGGCTAACTGCAGCGCACGCTTCAGATCTTTCAGAGCCTCTCTCTTTCCTTGGTTGGACCTCCAGGATACTCAGGCCCTCTTACATGTCTTTCTCAGGACTATGGTTACCTAGATTGGCGTGTGGTAAACTGCAATCGAGTCAGCACGCATTTCCTAAGTGTGTCTCTCCTCAGTGAGAGCCCAGGGTGTACCCGAGGAGTGTCCCCTGTGGCCCCGTCGAACGGTGGTTTGTCCATGTTCCCCCTGATCGGGAACGCACGTGCCCACAGCGGGCGAAGTAGGCTTAGGCCAAAGATATTTGCCAAGACTTGATGAATTATTGCATTTGAGTAGGCAGCTTTCGAGCACGCCATTAGGTGACCATAGCGGTCCAAGCAGCCCGCCAGTTTGGCATGGCACAAGGTGACCAAAGCGGTCAAAGCTTCTTTATATAAGGTCCACTGCGACCTGCTGGTGCCTTAGGTGCACACACAGCACGCACAGCTTTAACGATTTCCGGCCCTTTACTATTACTATACACACTTTCTTTTCCTCTTTCGTTTCATGTCTTTCTGTCTTCATGTCTTGGCACCTCATCCTTCTCCCTTCGCGCACACATTGGTCCGGCCCTTAGCGTAAACGCGCACCCGTACACTAAACCCAGGTTTGAGGTCGCCATGGTTGTTCCTGGTCACTTGGTTCCGTTTCATCGCAACCACATACACCTGGTCTGTCTTGTCCTCCTTTCACGTCGTCATTCGTTTGTCTTTTTTGCGCGCACACATGCACATTAGTCGTAGCCTTAGTTCTTTTCGCCTCTCTAATCAGGAGGCGTGTATGTGACACCCTTGGAGTCACAGGGATTCTTTTGAGTTGGTTCTACTGCTGACGAAGCTGCTCATGAGTTGGGAGGATATCGGAGCTGATCACTCCGACGTACCTGCGATCTTTGTGGTGCCCTCAAGCTGTCACTCCAATTTTCCGGTAAAGTGCTAGAAAGTTCTGCAGATGCGCACGTTCGTCGTCAACCTGTCGTTTCGCCTTCGTCGATAATGACCTTTGAGATTTGGGCCTCTCTCTTTCCTTGGTTGGACCTCCGGGATACTCAGACCCCCTTACATGACTTTCTCAGGATTATGGTTACCTAGGTTGGCGTGTGGCAAACTGCCATCGAGTCAGTACGCATTTACTAAGTGTGTGTGTGTGCCCCTTCTAGTCACTGGGATTCTTTTGAATTGTTTTCTTTTATAATGAGCAGGGGGACTGGAGCCGATTTGCCTATCCAGTCCAACGAAGCTATGGCATTTCGGTGGATGAGTGGTCTGATCAACCACTTGTACCTGCGCAATTTTTAACCTTTGGTAAAGGGCTAATGCAGCTGCAGTCACGCACGGAACGCCGTCACTCTGTCGGGTCGCTTTCGCCTTGCGCTTTGGGCCACATTTCCCGAACCCCAGGATCTTTAGGACCTTCCTGGACTTTTCAATTTAGGTTTCTTAGGGACCCGTCGAACGGGGGTTTGTCCATGTTCCCCGGCTTTGGGAACGTAGGTGTCCGAAGCGGACAGCAGGTGGGTTAGGCCGAAAGAACTCTGAATTTGTCTCATCTTTGGAATTCCAAGCTGGCTTATGCCTTTACGTGACCACAGCGGTCAGAGCAGCCAGCCATTTTGGCACGGCGTACGTGGCTGTAGCGGCCAAAGCTTGTTCAAGGTTCATTGGAACCTGTCCCATTCTTAGGTGCACACACAGCGTATACATGCAAACGAGGCGAGGTCTTTCTAGGTGTTTCTAATGAGGTTCGGCTTCATCGGTTCTCGTCCCCTCCATTTGGTTCCCCTTTTCATCCTTTCCCCTCTTACACACCTTTTTGTTTCCTCTTTTCTTTCATGTCCTCCTGTCTTCATGTCTGGTCATCTCATCCTTTTCTTCGTTTGCGCGCACATTGGTCCCGGCCTTAGTGTGCACGTGCACTTCTACCTACAGTTTTAACACAGGTTTCAGGTCGCCCAGGTCTTTACAATGAGGTGGGCTTCATCGGGTGTCCCTGTGCACTTGGTTCCCCTTTCATCACAACCACACGCACCTTTGTCCCGTCTCGTCCTCCTGTCATGTCTTCTTTCTTTTGTCTCTTGCGTGCGCACACGTGCACATTTGCCTTCACCTTAGATTTTGGCCTCCCCTCGGGGAGGCGTGTGTGTGTCTGTGTCCACCCCTGGACAAAGGGTTTTCCACCGCCACTCTTTTCACCGTTTTTCCACCACTTTCAACGTGCAGGGGGCCAGCGCGTGACATCACAACGCTGGCCAACGAAGCTAGTGATGTCATGGGATGCGGTCAGAGACGTCTGACCGTGTACCTGCTAAGAAACTGTTGCTCACGCTGTCCAATCCGCACGGTTTGATTCCATGGTCTTTCATGTTTCCCTCCCCCAAACTTCGCCGAGCTTCTTGCAGCTTAGCTTTGCAGCCGACTCGCAGCGCGCCGCTCGTTTCTGCAGACGTGAACAACAATTTTTTTGAAACACCTACAAGTTTGCGGACCTTTCACCCTGCGGTTCTTCACCATCCTTCCCATCGTGGAAATTGAGTCACTGAATACAAGTGTCAGAGTGTGTTTCGCTCAGCCGTCCCACTCGGGTGCTGAGTGTGATCCCCGTCACAGGGGCGCCGTTTTCTGCGTCGGAATTCAACCACCCCAAAGTACCACTTCCACTGGACCTTCACCGGAAGTCTTGGCCACCCCCATAGAATCAACTGATGCATTGGCCGCCGGGCCTTAACACGCACGGCAGCTTTCTCTTCCGCCAGCTTTCTGATCAGTCATGCATGTTGTTTTTCCACATGTTGCATTTTTGGATCGATGCCGTGACCTTTTCATCAGCAGAACTCAAGCTTGTTCCCTGGAGTTCTCCACTCTAATTCGAGATGCATGACCACACTTGACAACAAGCTTACACTCAGCTCAGCCTCACAACACCCTCTCCGTCAACACGAGCGATCAGATTTTCATACATGCAACCTTCCCAATCTGGAAAATCAGGGATTCCACAACCGCCGGGAGCCAGCGCTTGGCTCTATCAGGCCTCCAATCAAGACTCCACACCATTCGAAAATACACATTTCCACCCTCCAGCGCTGAAGCTGCTGCTGCAGAGTTAGTGAGGCTTTATGTCCAAAAAGGACACAACCACCACGCCTGCCACCGTTTTTTGAAAAAAGCGCCGAAGACTGCGATCTGTGTGTGTGCACCCCTGGACAAAGGGTTTTCCACCGCCACTCTTTTCACCGTTTTTCCACCACTTTCAACGTGCAGGGGGCCAGCGCATGACATCACAACGCTGGCCAACGAAGCTAGGGATGCGGTCAGAGACGTCTGACCGTGTACCTGCTAAGAAACTGTTGCTCACGCTGTCCAATCCGCACGGTTTGATTCCATGGTCTTTCATGTTTCCCTCCCCCAAACTTCGCCGAGCTTCTTGCAGCTTAGCTTTGCAGCCGACTCGCAGCGCGCCGCTCGTTTCTGCAGACGTGATCAACAATTTTTTTGAAACACCTACAAGTTTGCGGACCTTTCACCCTGCGGTTCTTCACCATCCTTCCCATCGTGGAAATTGAGTCACTGAATACAAGTGTCAGAGTGTGCGCCCCTTGTAGTCACTCGGATTCTATTGAACTGTTTCTTTTATAATGAGCAGGGGGACTGGAGCCGACTTGCCTATCCAGCCCAACGAAGCTATGGCATTTCGGTGGATGAGTGGTCTGATCAACCACTTGTACCTGCACAATCTTTAACCTTTGGTAAAGGGCTAATGCAGCTGCAGTCACGCACGGAACGCCGTCACTCTGTCGGATCGCTTTCGCCTTGCGCTTTGGGCCACATGTCCTTTTGAAGAACCCCAGGCTCTCTAGGACCTTCCTGGACTTTTCAGGATTTGGGTTTCTTAGGCTGGCGTGTGGCACCGCTGTCAAGTCAGTACGCATATCCATAAGTGTGTGAGTGTGTGGCCATCCTGGACTCACATGTTTGCAGTTGCAGTCTTTTATGAAGAATCTCACGATGCTTGTCAGCAGAGGTACACGGCATTCACAACCTAGCGGCTAGCGTGCACCATGCTACAGTACGGTTTTTAACGGGATCTCAGGCCAGATCCTCCAGGCATACCGGCACACGTGCCTGGATTGTTGAATTGTTTTCCAACCAGATCCGACTCATAGTTCGGGTTGTTATAGGTCGAGGTCGGTCGGCAAATGTGCAACTTCGATTGAATTTGAACTGGGGAGACCTCGTAACCTTGAGTATCTGGATGTTTGAGCCGTTGGTTTTTCTCTGCACTGCGGCTTACTCCAGGTCCGACTACTCAAGCAGCATTGCTGGGATCACTCGCGCCGTTTTCTGAACACTCTCCAAGCTGAAAGTGTGTGCGTGTATGACATGTTCTGGCATCAAAGCAGATTTTGTTTGGCTTACATATTTCTACAACGCTAGCGGTGGTCAGGTTCTGGTTCCTGAGCCAACGAAGACAGCCAAAGGTCACAGTAATATTATCAAAAGGAAGCCCCTTCAACATACCTGCATTGTGCAGTTTGTATCAAACTGAACATGGCAAGCCAAGAACCCAAACACGTGTGGGATCTGTATCTGTGCCGGACTCTTTGCTGTTGGACAGCAGAAAAGTTCATGCAAAAATTAAGAATTCAACAGGAAAGACTCGACAAAAGGTGAAAATGTATATGGACGCTCAAAGCTCGGCCGCTCGCGCTTATTTCCCTTGAGCCAAAAGTCGGGGTACGTGTATAGTATGTACATACCCTACATCCAAACACCCCTCCTAAGATTCTTCTGCTTTGCAGATGAATCTTCACTCCACGGCTTTTGCAGCCGAGCTCTTGCCGGTCTTTGCGTGCTGGCCTAAAGCATGCATGTGCTTCCAACAGGTTTCCGCGCTCAAAGGCTTGGTGCACAAGTCGGCAACGTTCTTGTCGGTGCCTACTGCGACCAACTCGAACTCTTTCTCTTTGAGCTTCTGCTGAACCCACAAGTAGCGGGTCTGTACATGCCTTGTTTTGCCTAGCCCGCGTCGACTGCACATTCCTCTGGCTGCACTGGAGTCTGAAAGAACCATGCAGTCCAACTCAACTCCCCATTCTCGGAACAATTCTCGTATCCCGGGCACTGACGCCGTTGCTTTAACGATGGCGTAATACTCCGATTCGCCCGAAGACAACGATATCGTCGTTTGCAGGGTTGATGATGACTTCAGGGTATGCTGTCCACACATCAAGACCAGTCCGGTGGTGGACTTTCTCGCGCGAACGCATCCAGCATGGTCACTGTCTGTGAAAGCTCGGATCTTGGTGTACATCCGTTGTGGTTTGAACTCTTGAACGACTCTGGGTTTGCCTAGCAGGTATCTGCCCAAGCGTTTCAGTCTTGCCCAAGAATCCTCATCGGGAACGGACATAGACCTTGCCAATGTTTTCACAGCTTCACATAGATCTCCTCTGTCTAAGCTCAAATAGGCTGCTCTCATCACCAATGATCTGTAAGTCTTTGCTTGTTCATGATTCAAGGGCGGCGTTTCGACAAACGCCTCTTCCCCCGTCTGCTTCACTGAGGGAGTGCTCACTTCTCGAGCGCCTTCTAGTTGCAATTGTTTCACAATGATCTCTGCGTGTCTAGGATCAGCTTCGTATGTCAACGTCCCTGTGGACTTGTTGTACTCCAAAATCCTATTGAGCACGCTCATCACCGTGCCATCTGACTCTTCAGGTCCGACGCATCCGTCGACACGAAATTCGAACTTCTTTGCCAAAATGGTGGCAATCCGCTTTTGTGCATCTTCATCTCCTAAAATCAGGAAATCGTCTCCATGCACGAGAAATCTCGCGTCTGACTGCGTGTCATAGAATATCGACGGCCATGCTGTTCCGGCTTGAATGCCGTGTTCTTGAAGCAATTCGCTGTAAGTTGCTTGCCAAATTGATGCTGCATCTTGCGTCCCGTACATCGTCTTGACAAGACGGGCACAATGACCTGGCGTCTCGTCTCCTTCGGGCAATGTGCAATACACAGCTCGTTGAGAATCGCCATAAAAATGAGCACGGCTTATGTCCAGCAACTTAAGCTTGAGCACTTTTCCACGTCGGCTGACCTTCATTGAAGTCATGAGTGAACAAAGTGCCTTGAGTGCCTCGAGTGGAGGCATTGCTGAAAAGCTCTCGCATTCTGGAACAGTCTGACCTGGCTTCTTGACTTCTCTGACCACCAAGCGACTTCTGTAGTTTTCTTTCACATTGATGTCTCCTTTGTTCTTATCCACCCACTTCAAGGTGATGGGTGGCTTGCCAGTGGTCTGATGGCATTCTTCAATCGGAACCTTGACGTAGATCTGTTGCTTGTGAACCCATCTCAACTCTTCTTGCCTGGCGGCAAGAACTGCTTCTGTGCGCAATGGAGCTCCAGTGACTGTGTCAAAGTACTCGGCTTGTTCATGATCTTCTGCTGGAGCATCGAATTTGTTGTTGGGTTCGTTTGTCTCTCCGTCTGGACTAGGTCCAGCCCCTTCAACTGATAGCTCATTGAGCTCTCCACGCCATCGAAGTTCCTGTCTGATTGCGCGCAGAATCGCTGCCACCATGCGTGGAGGGTACTTTTGCGCCTGCCTGGCTCTGCCGTTCACCAAATGAACATGTCTGTGTCCTCCGTTGCATTGACCCGACAATGCAGCTGCAATCGCGACAGAGTTTGTGAGGTAGCGCGTCTCTTTGCGCACAAACCCTTCACCTTGTTGATCTGTCGCCTTCATGCCCCAACGACACATCGGCCCTTCGACCTGGATCACTCTGGGGTCGTTGCTCAGCATTTGCATTTCGGGTTCCTTCCAGGAGCTGGCACCCTTCGGGTGTGAATGCAAGAAGATCCTCCCTTCATTCATCTGTTTGAGATAGCTTTTGCAAGCTACTCGAAGGTGTGTGAGTCCTTCTTGCCTGATTTGTTCGGTTTCTTCTGGGGTTCTTTTGTCCTTGCTAAGATTTTAGGAACTTTTCTTTGCAAAGGGGCCTGGGAAAGTTAACTGGTCCTGCGCTGGCACAGACCCCATGAACTCTTGAAAGGTGGTGCCATCCCCTGAGTTTTGATGGAGTTGAAGCAGACTTGGGTGGGTCCGTTTGGAACCCCGTGAGACAGGAAAGTTGATTCAGCACGTGCGCATGAGCATTGCACGAGCAGGCGTGACCAAGCTATTATGCCAATACTTCCCGAACCACCACACATCAGACTTTCGTTGCAGCAAATAGTGCGTTGGACAAGTTCAAAGCACTTCCAAAATCCCAAAGTTTAAAATTGCCAACAAAAAATTTGAAAAACAAAACACAAAACCCAACTGCAACCTTCCCCCACCTCTACCACCCTCTTACCTTAACTTACACACATGGAGGGTGGTTTGTTTGTTTGTTTGTTTGTTTGTTGTTGTTTTTTTCTACCGCTACCGTTGGGGCAAACTGCTGCAACAACTCTTTTTCTCGCGAACCAGACGCCTTGGAGTAGCGGTCTCCTGAAAAACTTGACTGGCTAGTAGTCTTTTCAAGACTATGCCTCCTGCTCTGGGTCATTCTCTTTGTGTTCTTCCTCTTCGCCTTCTTCGGCGTCCCCTCCGAGGTCACCGTCAGTTGCCAAGTCTGGTTTCGACTTGCCTTTAGCATCAGCCGGTCCACTCTCAGAACCACCAACCGCCGACTTTTTGGACTCAAGCTTCTGCTGTTTCATCGTAGCCTCAAAGGAACGATATAATATATATACATGTATATATATATAGATATGTACATATCATATTTGTTGGACATTATGATGGCGAATCACAGTGACAAAACACATCACATGTGGAAAAAACACTGCACACAACATCATTTGGCCAACTGACAGCCAGATCAATGAGATCCGCTTTCGAAACACCTTTCTCGGCCTCCTCACGAATCACCTCCTTATGATAGAAGGCAGTTACAAAATGAGTAAAATTTCAGCGGCAATTGAAAATCCAGAAGTGACTGCGAACGGGGCACAGCAATATCACAGATTTCATCCATTGTGAGGCCTGGTTCCAACCGCACCTGAATAAAGTTGCAAACCCACGCTAGTTGAAACATAGAAAGCGAAACCTCTAAGATTCCTACTGTCAGGAGTTCGTGGCCGTCCCTCTTGATGCCATACTTTTTGTCCGCATAGTAGCAATACTTGTAGGCGCGGCCCGGCGGAGGTCCCTTGTTGCTCTTTGCAGACGCTGGCTTTTTGAAAGGGGGCCCTCCTTCGCTGACGCTGCTGGGTTTGGCTGCTGGTCGTTTCATTGCCTTTGCTACGGCCTCTTCCATGGATTCATAGGAGACGTTTTGCGGCGACTCCAGGCTACTGGTTGGCGGGGTGGGTTCTGCTTTGGGCTTTGCTCCCGCTTTTGCTTTCATTGGCAATTGCTTCTTTGGCTCTGCTTTTGGTTTGCTTTTAGGCTCTGCTTTTGGTTTGCTTTTAGGGCCTGGCTTTGCTTTCGGCGCAGTCGCAGCAGGTTCGCCGTCAGAAAGATCTGACTCCTTTATGTCCTCCAAAGGCATGGTTAGCGGTTAGCGGAGAAACTACGTTTGTCCTGTCCTATAGGATTTGGGCCTGTACTCAGTTCAACCACAAAGCAACCTGCAAGTTGACCCTGAATACTCAAAGTACAAAAGAACTTCAAAACATCGCACAATTGCTTATGGTTCGCTGCTGCGTGACATACAAAAAATGCAAGTAACATGTTTTCCAGGAACGCTGATACTGATGCTTCAAGCACAAAGCTGTCTCAAAAGCCGATAAGGCGAGACTTGCTGACTCACTTGATCAGCGCTGCTGTCAAAGGTGGGAGCGTAAGGGCACCCTGGAGCAGCAGCTTTGGCTTCGTTGGCTTCACCAATGCTGGCGATGGTTCCACACGCACCTTGCGTAAACTCACAAAGTTCTGACTCCGTGACATATTCCACCAAAAGCTTCCGCAACAGTGGTCAGAATAGACGGTCTTTTATACATTGTTTTGACCTACTCCGGCCTCCCAGCTCAGCACTGCCATGCTATTTGGCAATGAACGTAGGTGACCTTTGTAAACAGCGCCGAAGACACTGGGCCTCAAATCCATCATGTTCGCTTCGGCGCTCACCCCTTTCGGGTCAAAACTGTTGATCTTCGGCAGAGTGCTTACTGCATACCTGAATGCCATGGGCCCTCCATCCTCCTCGTTTGCGACGCTTCGAAAACCAATATATATATATATATACACTGAATCTGGTAAGTGCTTTAAGTTGAACTCCACAAATGAGCGTTTAGAAAAAATAGGTCCTGGTTCTTCTGGGCCAATGTGTGATCCAACAGTGTCATCTCAGTGACCCCACGGGTCTGGCAACAGTGACAGGCAATTTGGGCCAAGCACAGGATCCGCTTCGTGTCTCCATCTGTGTAAATCAAGAGCTGGGTGTCCCCATCAAGCAGCCATGGGATACTGTGGTCCTTGTTGTTCCGGGCAACTCCTGACCACGCAAAAGCGAAACCCTACAAAACCATGTATATTGCTTGAAGCCAACAATTCATTCGGCCTGGCGTGACTTCTGCAAAACTGCCAGCGCCAAATCCACAGAGTTCGCCCGCAGGGACATGCAGCGTGTCAGAGTCTGAAGTATTCAGCAAATACAAGGTGTAATCCTTGCACGCCACAAGCTCCAGTTTGGCGTTGCCAAAAGCTGGGGCTCTTGCAAGCAACCTTGGGGTATGCGAATGTACGACAAAAACTTACAATATATAGTTTGAATGAGCTTCAAACAATTTCAAATGTGTCTAAGAAACTCTTTCAGCTCCAGTTCATCTTTCGTGCATGTTGTGACTTGGAGGCTTCTTGTTGGGTCGATTGGGCGGTCTTCGGCGCGAAACACTGGCTGACACATTGTTCGAGGGCCATCTGTTGCCTGACCAGCTCCCCCAGTGGGCCTAACAGTAGGACTCTGGCCCTGACCAGAAAATAAGCAACACGTCTGATTGAATTCTTCAATCTTTCGCTTCAAGTCCATCGATGAATCCCCCAGTGAATCTGCCAGAGCGGCGGGCAACCTCAGCCGACAGTAAGACTCTGCTGGGCCATGGGTTGCCCCAGCCATTCACAACAAACATTTAAAGGCAGAGTTGGGAGCTTGCATTTGGAATCTTCAACGCACAGAACCTCCAGCGTAGGCAAGCTGGTCTTCTCACTGCTCCGAGCCCGTGTTTTGGGCCCTGCACCTTCGCTGTTGTCCCACCAGTCCTGAAGGGTCCGTCAACAAGATCCGCACTCAGTGGCATATTATGTGAAACATAGTGCATTGCGAAGTTCGAACTTGGTGCCCCACTCGGTAGATTTGACCATGCATCAGCTTGGCCTGAGCCTCCAAGCCACCATCTTCCTGAGTGGAGTAGGCACAGAAATGCCAGTTCAGATGGTCTCCATCCTGTTGTCGCAAATTGGCGAGTTGTAAATCAAAGCTCGCCCTTCCCCACTCATTGTACCTGCAGGGCAAGAACATCTCTAGAAAAGAACATGATGCTTATTGCAAATTGCAACATTCCAGTAACAAGCCTGTCAGGGCAGAGGTCTACTACGTATATGTGTGTGCCATTAGGGAGCTCCAAGCCATCAATCAAGAATTCCAACAGCTCCCGCGTTGCAGTCACCCCTCGCTGGGCAGCCTTGGATATGAATTGAATTGGCGTAAGAACCCATGATTGTGAAATTCACAGCTTCAATGCACTTGGGAAGGCAAGAAACTCGCTGTTGTGGATTTGGGGGAGTCTCTGCGTCATCCCTCAAAAGCTCTGACACTCTGCACCGAGACAGCGGGCCGATGGTGCCCAATGTCGCCTTCGACTTTGAAAACCCGCCCTGCCCCTTGTGAAGGTTCGACGTCACCAACATTCCTTGGCTCCGGCCGGAACCTAATGCGTTGAACGCCCAAATACCTAACGAACTACCCCCTTACTTGTCTCAAAGTGTCCATATTGGTTCTTTTTCCTCTTGTCCGAGGCGTGTTGCGATTCCTTGAACACCAGTGAAAATTCGGTCACATCTGATGACCTCAGCAATGGACCAAAGAAACTGCAAAAATGTCCATTTTGTTTCTTACCCTTTTCGTGAAATGCATGAAGGCCACTGTCCTCCAAATAGGTCCTCCACAACGCGTCTGTTCCGCAACACAAATGCGCGATCAATGCCAGCGTGTTGTACTGGGTGGAGCTCCACCAAAACACTATTTGGATTCTGGTTGCACACATACTTTGCAACCTCACCAGCTTCATTGATAATCATTTGTCCTTGCTTGGCGCTATTCTGTGAGTTTCCATTCTTCTGAAAAAAACAGGAGTCTGTGGGTAGTGACGAATGCAAAAAAGAACAAACTGAGGATTTGTCTGGATGGCCACAGCGATAGGTCCATGATCATGATGGTGTACCTTGGCCAGGAACAATCCAGGCCTCCAATCGCTTACTTTTCATCGTAAGTAAGGTTTGACTTTTCATCATAATTAAACGAGTCACGGGCTGTTGGAATTGCTGGATTCTTTTGATTGCCAGTCCAAGAGGTTGGCATGAACATCGCTGAACTGGCCCACACACTCATACTTATGGCTCTCAGCCATGAACTTCTCCACATCCTTTTGGCCTCTCTGAAACCTCTGCGTGAGGTACTGGAGGTCGAGCCCACCCTGATTGCAATTGTAAGCTTGCTGAGGATAAAAACATCGAAGGCTCCCAGCCTGCCGGTTTGCGTCCTGCTGTTGCTTCTCGCTGTAAACCTTCAATGCCTGCAAGTCCGCCTGGCAGTGGATGACACAGCCAAAAACATTGCTACAACTTGACTAACCCTGGTCGGCCTCAATCTTGAGTACTGTTTGTTGGTAGTTCGCTTTCTGGATCATTTGCGCGTACCTGCGGTCTCGAAACACAAATGTTTGTCCATTTTTCCAAGGTCTCAAACAGCAAAAATTGAGGCACTGTTCTTGCGATTGCATCTTCGCGTCAGCGACCTGCTGGCCAAAACACAACCGTGAAACCCAACCTTAAAAGCTGGCGACACCTGTTTCTCGAATTTCTTGATCGCACTGCGAAACAGCGCCACCCGCTCCAAGTCAATTGGAGGGACTGTGTCCTGCATTATGGACAGGACCTCACGCACACACAAAATTTCTGGAATGGGTCCTGGAGCATGGCCAGGATCTCACAATCGGCATGTTTCAAATTGAACCTTGGCGGGCAAAAGCAACAACAAATCAACTACTTGCCACGATTCTATTAGCTTTGAGCTTTACACTTGACTCGGGTGGATCGGGTGAACCTAATCAAGCAAGAAATCTGAGTATGTAGCGCTTTCTCTATCTTCGGCAGTTCTTCTGCTGTGAATGCAGTTGGGAACTTCTCCACAAAGATTCGCCGACATGCCACAAAGGCGGCGCAAATCCTGGCCAATGGCTCCTGAAGGTCATGCGGTTGAAACCATGACGAAACTTGCGACCAAAACTGAAAACGCGTCGACATGCTGTAGGACTGGTCAGAAACAACGCTAACTGTGGCCATGCTTCCACTTGGCTGCCTGACCAAGGCTTTCGAAGCTTTGGGTTGACTGCCAACCAGTCAGAGCACAAACGGGCACAAAGCAGCTGCAAAGATTCGGGCGTGTTCACTAACACCTCGGTCCATGCTGTGTGCGCTTGCGCCGCCAGGACCTCGTTCCTGTTGAACCACTTTTGCGCCAGCGCTTCGTGGGTCAAGAATTTGATCATTGTGTGAGATCTCGGTGCGCAACAAAATTGCCACGACAAATCTGAAACCGCAATAAACAATACTAGCACTTACAATATGTTGAATGTACTATGGTTTTGAGGCAGGCACTTGACAGCGTCTGTTAGTGCAGTTACGATGTCATCATCGATGCACTTCAGAAGGTGGAAAGCCGCCGCGGCTTCCTTTGGGCCAACCTGCACGCCTGCCATGACCTTGTGGGAGGAGTTCCATTCCTGCACTGCCAAACATGCTAACGGTTTAAACCATGTAAAAGCACTAACCGAACCTCGAGGCTGGCTTCACCACCCAGCTTCGCAGTCAGGCGCATCTGATGAACCAGGTTAAACGCGTTTGGCTTTCGCCGAACGCTTGTCGATGCAAGCGTGATGCCTCCATGCCAAAACTTTTCAGGCGATACTGTCCTAGGACTTAATCATTCCACACCTCTGTTCTCATTGACCAACGCTTCGGAAGCAGAACTGCCCGGGACGGCGGTCACAGTAGCATGCAGGGTTTGAAGGGTCCTCGCCCAAGCCACAACAAAGAATCTTCAATCTTACCATGGAAGAACTTTCCATCCACAACAAACCGCAAGGGAGGAGTCCTTTGTAGATACCCTGGCCAAGCCTTCAAGACCCAGCAGTGAGGCAGTCTACTTTTGATACCAATTCGGAAAACCCAGCCTGCTTGAACTCTGGGCAGTCCCACATGCACACAAGGACTGTCAAAGCTGCCAAAGATCGACTCCAACCCTTGACATACATCAGGTTCATGGGCTCCAGCCCACGTTTGTCATTGCAACAAATGTCAGCGTTGGTGATGTTGTGTGGCGGGCAAATGTTGGCTTCCGGGCGACACGCGGAGATGACAAGTTTCTCCACTCCTGGAGTGTCAGGATCCGTCAAGAACCTCGGCAAAGCCCAGAATGCACAGCTAAGCTTTTTCACAAAAAAACCAGGGTTGCGGCCCTCTTGCAACGATCATCTCACATAGGAGCAAGTGTGCGTCCTAAGGATCAGGTGCTTTCTCACTTCCCTCTGACATGCACACATGAGGTTGGGACTGGTTCCACTAGGCCTTTGAGGCCACAGTTCTGAGCATACACCAGGTGGGTGGGTCTCAGAAACACTCCCTGCACCGTACGCAGATCACCACGCTCACAATAGGACCTGAAAGAACACTGCATGGCCACGCCATGCAAATCAAACACCTTGGAATTTGAGACCGTCAGGCCTGTGTTCTTCTCGAGGTACTTCCATGTTAGCCCAGATCAAGAACTCGATCAACTTTTCCTGCGCGAAGCAGTGCATTAGAAACGTGTTGGTATGACATAGTTCTGTCCCGCGATTCGAAGAGCTTGTTGAAGTACTTGTCTGCGGATTCAAACTCTTCCATTTTTCGGGTCCTCAAACATCTCAACAACTTACCCGCTACTTCTTCCTATGAATGACAAGCTTCACGAAACACTCTCTTTCAATCTAGTGTCCACCAATCCCGAAATAGAGCGGTCGGGCCATCACCCTCTGCTGTCGACTCCGAAGCGCCACTGGCTATTGCCTTGGGACCTGCTTTGCTTTTCTTTTTCTCTGACCCCCCTGAGGCTCCGCTAAGCCGTTTGGCCGGTGGCATCGGCAAACGAAAGGAACCTCAAGGAAACCTTGAGCCACCGAGACTGTAAAAACAAAATCACAAACACTGCTTCTGCCAAAAAATGAATCAATCCAGCAATTTAGTTTTCTGACAGGCTGTCGGCTACCTTCAAAGGTCAGGCGTGGCCTGGCCCAGGAAACTGCAGCAGAAACGCTAAACACAAAGTAGGCAACACACGCGTGCGCAAACTTCCTTAGAAGGACCATCGAGCAAAACATATGGGCCTCACTCCTGGTCCAGTGTGTGGTGAGGGATGCATTCGAGGGTGGTACAGCCTGAGAAAATATCAATTAAAAAACCATTGCCACCGAAACGTGACCAAGCATCCTGGACATATGATCTTAGTTTTGCGTCAGCGGTCTAAACGTCTCTTTTTGTGTCAACTGTGTGAACACAACAAACACTTTTGTGTCAACCGGCAGAACACAACCAAACTTTTGTGTCAACGGACAAAACATCACCACGGCTTTTGTGTCGTTGGACATAAACTAACCCCTTGCTTTGTGTCAACGGTGTTCAACATGAAGCACGTTTGTGTTCACAACGGGCGGCCCTTGACACAAACGAAGTTCCAGTTCTACATTGAGGCCTGCTGGAACCCATCTCATGTCCACACCGGGCTTTGCCCTTAGTGTCCATGCCGCACCCGAATTTTCTGCAAGTTAGTTGCGCTCAAAAGATATGACCTGAAAGCTTATGTTCTGCACACAAAGCACACTCCAGACTGGGAACACGTTCGTGTTCTCAGGCACTGGCTGCTGACAGAAACACCCTGCTTAGCGAAGCCATCTAGAAAATCAAAACTCAACTTATATTTTTTCATATTTCCAGAACTCATAAGGCAGAGCTTTGGTGTCACCAGCGGGTGGCCAACTGCAGAAACAACCCATGCTCTAAACAACCTATGTTTGTGCAGAATGCGCCTTCTTCGAAGGAAACATTTGTGCAACCGTTCTCACTTCAAAAGCAGAAGGTTGTTGGACTGCAGCGATAAAAACAGGGACACAGGGTTACATCAAAATTGCTTTTGCTGTCTAACGCTTTCATTGGTTCAAGGTGGTATATAAGTCTCAACCACTGGTGCGTTGAAACAAAGAGTGGCCCAAGCAACCCAACACAAAAAACACTTACTGCTCGTGGGTAGCTGCTCGAAAAGCTGTGGAAACTACGGACAAAGCCTTTTGAAAAGGCACTCCCTCAGCCCACAGCGCCGATGCAGCAGTGTAGATGTAGCGTCGGCTTCTTCGCGCTTTGTATCGATCGAGACAGCTCTTGGCAAGTGGCTCGAAAGTCATGTGCAAATTATTCATGTCCTTGGGTTCCCTCCCTGCCACCGTCGACAAAAAATCAACCGTCAAACACACAGCCAAAAAGAAATTAAATACTGTTGTGTGCGGACACACACGGCCCCAGCACGGGTCTAGTTAAAAAGAACCTACAGCGCAGCCAGGGCAAGCGTGCCATGGATGTCGGCAAGCTAGCCAAGCGTAAAGCATTTCAGCTGATTGGTCCCTTGCAACTTAGTTGCAGGCAGGGCCTTCCCACTACTACTCCCATTGTGGCACCTAAAGTTAGGCCACTACCTCAAAGGCCCCCAAGTTCAGTCACACATTCTTCTGCGGCACTGCCATTGGGCAAGTAGAAGAACTATTTATGCTCCATGTTTGGAGCGGTCAACAAGGAAAGGTTCATCCTTAGCAAGTGGCATAACTTACCAAACCACCCACGTCGCAGAGCAATTTCTGGTGGCAAACTGCGTTCTGGTATGACCATGGGAGCAATAACGCTCAATGTACTAGCCGCGCGTTGCTGGGGCCGTGTGTGAATGTCTGTGTGTGTGTGTGCGTTTGCGCCTGCAAGAACAGTTTGCAAAACAATCGCTTCATTCAAGAATCTGGCTCCAACCGCACAGCCTGGTGGCCTCTTCCAGGAATTCCCAGACCGACTGCAGGGCCAGGACTGGGGAGAATCCTGCAAGTTTAAGTTTGAGGCGGTCGTTCACTTCAAACACTGCGCAGTCCTGGTAATGTCCAAGGGCTGGCCACGGTCAAGGGTGCCATTCACCAATGACTCCAAGTGGTCTGCGCATCTGGCCATATTCCAGGGTGGCATCCCTTGGCCCAAATCAGAGTTCAAAAATGTTCAAGAATCAAAGCAGCTAAGTTTGCTGCGCATGATTGCAGCAAACTTCATCCAATTCTCGTGGATCTTTGGTTCTTTTTCTCGGTCTGCAACCCGAACTGGCATGGAAAGTGGCATGACACGAGTGGTATCCTGGGCAAATTCAAACATGGCAGAAACACCACTGGGCATCGGCTCTTCCGCCGCAATCTGTCTTGCCAGGACTGCTGGTAGATACAGAATCGGACGTCCTTTGTATGTAGAATCTGCCATGTACTGCCGTGTCCTGCAGAGCAAGGTCGAGGAACAATCTGTACTATAATGAACGTACTAGTTTATCCTGAGGATCACATCTGCATCATCTTCAAATTCCCCTCGGATGCGTTTCTTCCAGAAGGCGCTGTCAATCTCACTCCGCCGAAGCCCTGCGCTCGCTAATAAAACATTCAGTCAACTCTCGGAACTTTCATGCTGGCAAAAAGAGCCGGGCCTGTCTCGCTGAATCGTTCCAGTACAAAGGTATGGGGGGCGCCTGGCCCCCCTATACCCTTTAGATGGTTTCCGAGACACTTGGTCTGGAGAAAGTTTTTCCTACAGCCAATGAACTCTCAGGATGACCGTGTGTCACTACTCTTGTTCGCAAAAACAAGTGTGACACTGAATCATTAACACTAGCAGTAGTCAAGAAGCCAGTCTCTGACAGAATTGACCACTTGTGTGAACTTCAGCTCGGACTCGCTTGGTCTTGTGGACTGCAGTTGCAAATAGCGGTCAATCGCGGAGCAAAAGTCTTCTGGGATATGAAGCTCATTCGAAGCCTCCAAAACGCTGTTAAGTTGTGAAAAAAGCCATCGATGTCTTCATGTGTTGTCGCATTGGATAGCCAGCTTGAGAAAACGAAGGTCGATACGTTCTCCAATCTTGTTCAACATCCCGAACAGCAGGTCTAAGCACCAGCTGGAATCCTTGGGGATCATGGGGTCGCTCAAAAAGACACCTGTGCCGTGGCCATGGCCGATGATTGCATGGACGTCGAGCGCTGGGCGCGCGAATGTCTGGAATTCTTTGCTGGCCATAGCCAGTGATCGCGGCATCCTGAATTTGCTTTTGTCCATGCCATCAAGTATCAGGCAAATGAAGCGTGATCCTGATTGCATCATGTTGATGCGGCTGATGGCCCGGCTTTCCCAGTAAACGCACCGGTCACGGTATTGTGCAGAAATATGGGATCCGTACATTTCAGTCTGACGCTGATGAGCTACACGGTCTCCAGTCAGTTGTTTCAGAATGAGGCGGTGCTTGATACAAGTACTACAGGCAGCGTGTCTCGACTTCTCTCGGATGCTCAGCTTCGATCGATAGCTTTCAGACCAAACCTGAGGAATGACTAATTCCTCTTACTCTTCAAAGAAAAAGAACATCCACAGAAAAAAACATTACAGACATTGAAACCGACAAAGAAAAGCATAAGTCTTCCGGTTATTATGACGCCCAAAGACTGTCAAAAAAAGCTTCAAGCTGATGCGCCGTTCTGGGTATCTTGTCTGGAGCATGGAGAGGTAATCGGTGAAGCTACCTGGAGGCAAAACACGCATTGATTCCAAGTTGTCGTCCATCTGCTGGGATGAAGATCCAGGAAACGCCTGTGGTCTCTTTGGCCTTTTCCCCGGGCGCCGATGAAACGCCTGAAGTTTGGGACACCGCAAACGTCCCTTCACTTCAGGCATGGGTTCCGAAAGGGTCTCATACAACTCAGCCAAAAATTCTAAGCAAAGCTGTCGATTCATGGATTTGTCACCATCTGGGTGCGCATGCTTCCTGGAAAGCGAGCGTCCATCCATTGGAGCTTCCGTCTTGTCTTTGGCACATTGCAAAAGCCGCCTCCAACGTTTGGATCCTAAACCCAGCAAGCGTCTCAGAGCCTGTCGGCACATAGTGTGACCCAAAAATGACAAGCTCGCCCTGGCAGTCTCGGATTCATCCCCAGTCCTTGTCTTCAAGCAATCTTGGAGCAAACGAATCACCTGTGGGCAGAAAAGATTTGTGAGTTAGTCATGCTCACTGAAAATCGTAGTGTTGCATTTCATTTCATAGAATCTCACTGAAAATCACCGCTAAGAATAGAAAGGGCGGCAAAAAAGTTGCTGGGCTTCCAAGCCTTGCCTTGTTGTCAGCATCCAGCTTATGAAGGTTGCTCCACGAAAACCGCAAAGTGACAAGCTCATGAAATGCAGGGCTACTTTGCCTGAATGGCTCAAAACAGCAGCGTCCGCGTCTCGACCGAGACCGCTGCTTTTGGCAGTCACACGAAGTCGGAACCACCTTCAGCAAACATTGCTCAATCGTGGACTTTGACACGATCTTTTTTGGCTCTCTTGTGGGTCTTGGAGCAGAAGTTGCAGGAACTGGCGGGGCTGCATCATCATCGCTCGAGTCTTCTATGGGCGGCAGCAAAGCAAAGCTACCAGCCATCATTCCGCATTGCTCCGGACCCCGCTAATTGAACAAAAACCACATTCAAAGACGACCGTCAGTCCCAACCTTTGCCAACAGTTTATTGACAACCTATCTGAGTGAGCCGGCCATAGTCATCCACCACCTGGCGAAAGAATTTTAAAAGAATAACTTCGAAGACAGAGAGCCTACAATCTTCAGCCTTTTATGCATCTTTCATGATGCTGCTTTCAAACCAAACCTGGGGAATGCATAATTCTCAAAAGAAAAGGCATCCGCAGGAAAAACCTTGCAGATTTTGACACCGACCAAGACAAGTAAACTAGTCTTCTGGTTTCTAGGCCCGAAGGTAATCAAAAAAAGATAAAAAAAAGGCTTCAAGCTGATGCGCCGTTCTGGGTCCTGGGTATCTTGAGGTAATCGGTGAAACTACCCAGAGGCAAACCACGCATCGATTCCAAGTGAACCGCCTGCGGTCTCTTTGGCCTTTTCCCCGGGCGCAGATGAAAAGCCTGAAGTTTGGGGCACCGCAAACGACCCTTCACTTCAGGCATTGGTTCGGAAAGGGATCGGGCGGCTTGGACGTGGGGAACGTGAAGAGAAAAGACATAAAAGATCTGTGGCGGGCTGGCCAAAGGGTGTCTGTCTGCTGAATGTTTGAATCCGTGAAGTTGATGAAAAATGATTGCAGTTGATGGATGGATGACTTTGCTCGCTTGATGTCACATGCGCTGCGTCGAATCTTCTAAAACGGTTCGAACCAGGGGCCCGAGCAGTCCCAGCAACTTCCGGAGAAGGCTCCTGCTTCGAGGAAGGAGCCACGCAAAATCAAGGAATGAACTCTCCATTTTAGCAATGAAAGCATTTCTGGTGCGTTGGAACATTATCGACGACCATGGACTCACTTCAAACGGCCAGTTCACCTAATAAGGGTTTGTGGAATTCCAAAAAGCAACCACTTGCAACAAGTCAGGAGAACCTGCAAGCTCATCGTTCTCTGTCCTCAAAGGCGAGCATAAAGCATAAGGCGAGCATGAAGCATACTGGGAGGACCAGCCTTATGAAGCAAGGCTGAAGAAGCAAACGTTCACATAAGCTTTGATTGAAGTGAAGTGGGTTTCTTGGGAGCCAGCTCTGCCAACCCCAACCCAGGGCTAAGAAGCCTGTCAAAGCTCAAGCTGTGCACTATGCGCGTCGCTCAAACACTGCACCTTGCCATGATGTGGTAGTTCACGAAACTGCGCGATGTGGAACATCTCTCAACCTGAACCTAAACCAAATGGGCTGCGGGCGCCTTGCATGCAGGACATTGACAAGCCCAGCATTGAAAACACATGGTGAGGACACATGGCAACCTTTTCACCAAGAATGGATGGAAATCACATCCCTCTCCGGCGGTCTGCAATTCACCTTGTGAATGTTGAATTGAAGATATGTTTCAGCCTTTTGCCCAACACAGCTTGCAAGGAAGGGCGACAGCACATGAAGAAACATATTGTTTGGGCCCACAACAAAAGACTTTATCCAGCCATGTGGTGCCCCATGAGATGGAGCGCCAGCCGGCAGCAAGCCGGCATCACACAATTACCTAGAGATTTCAGCCTATCGAAATCGTCTGCCTGCACTTCACTGTCCTGCATCAACCATTTGTGGGTCTCGATTCTTCCTAACCGATTCCAAGGAAGGTTGGAGCGCTGAATCATCTGCTGCGCGGTCATCAATTCAAGGTCCTGCGCTCGATAAGGAATGTTCTTTGGCGCCAAACCTCAGCTCAGCATTCAACGCACATCAACTGCAGTTAAAAAACCATGGAACCTAATAGGGGCCCAACATGAATTCCGCAGTTCTTGCCCGTCACCGTGGCCCAATGCAGCACGAAGTTCCGAGCGCTGAACTCCTGATCGAAACTCCGAGGCGTTTGAATCCAACTAGCTTCCAACAGTCCGTAAAAGAGCGCTGTAGCCTCCAGAATCAGCCGCATGACTGGCCGCATCTCTGCACTGAGGATGTCGCTGACGTTCTCTAAATAGCACGTTTTCCTGGCAGACCGGATGCAAAAAATGGACCACTAGGCTCAGGACGAATCAAACTGTTCGCATTCACGTGCAAAGCTGGGGCACACAGATTTGCCGTGTCCAGTACTCGGAACACATCCCGAATAAGTCCGCTTCGATCAATGTCCAGCAATCCCTTCTTGAGGCCGGACCGGGAAATGCCCTTGGAGCGCCAAGGAGGTTTACTACAAATTAAAAGCGCAAAAAAATTAGTTGAAAGCAACACGTCAATGCTGTGGCAAGAAACTGTGCAAGGAAATCCGGCTACCATGGCTTCTGGAGCCACTGAAAGTTGACCAGCATCGAATGTTCGCACGTCCGAGAAAATGGGTACTTGCGGAATCAGGCCGTCGCCCTGCCGGGCCCTGATCACAGCTTGGCAAAACTCTGAAATCTCCACCTGAGTGGGATTCTTTTGAAATTCACTTTGAAAATCTCCAGGAAAGGTATCTCAGGTGAGCGCGAAGCATACTGGGTGGACCAACCTGATGAACCAACGCTGAAGAAGCAACAAGCCAAGTGAAATGAAGTGGGTTTCTTGGGACCCAGCTCTGTCAATCCCAAATCCAGAGCCATGATGCCACTAAACATGGAGATCGCAGGCTTTGTGCCAGCCTGTCAAAGCTGAAACTGTGCAGTTTGTCATTTGTAGGTCTCGCAAACGCTGCGCCTGGCCATGATGTGGAAATAAATCACGAAAGTGCTCGACGTTGACCGAACCATGCACCGGTCGGGTCCAACCTGTTGGCAGGCCTTGGCGGCGCAGACTGGTGATTTGTGAAAAACCACGTGTAAGAGAAACATATTCGATGCAACATCCGATGCAACAAAGAAAAATCTGAACTAAGAATCCCATCATCCATTCACCGACCTCTGGTCGAAGGATGTGCCCACGTGGGATTCTATTACGCCTGCACTCCTGCTTGTAGAAATCCCAGTAGTATATCTGACTGGCCAGGTCCTGGCAAGCGGTAAGTAGTGGACAGTCCACTGGCAAGTTCAAAATCGAAGACTTTCCACAAAAAAATGGTCGCCTGCTTGCTCCGCACCGACAAGTGCGAGCGAGTAGCTCGAACGGTTGACCCGAAGACTCCTGGAAACAAACGCCATCCATATGACACCCAGTATACAATGCAATTTTGTTCTGATAATTAACATGGATTCAAATTGAGAAAACTGAGACAGCTACGAATCGTGCCATAAGTGTTCGTCACGCAAGGCGTCTCGACCATCTTCACACCTTTCTTGACAGCTTTCTTGGCTCCAGCGCTCTGTCGCTGAATTTCGGGCACCTCAAACGAAAAAAAGGGACAACGAGGAGAACGAGTAACGATTATCTGTGCAAAACACCAAAACAATTGCAAAAAGCAAGCTGCTTCTAATTTCTGTAAGTGTCAACTTTCAAGTTCAAAGGCCCGACATCGGGCTCATAATTGCCATATGCTGGAGCAATGTCGCAAAGCTGGACGGTCTTGCCCACAGCTCGTCCAATTCCAAATTTGGGAAATCTGCGATCTTCGGGCCATTGAACCCATTCCTGGAACCCCCCTTATACAACCTAAAAACTTAAGTCTTCACAAGCGGAGCTCCCAAAACGAGTCTTTACAACTTCCATCTCCTCCACCAAATCTACTTGCGTGCCATCATCATCTCCAACGCCATCAGAACTCAGCAAATAAGTCAGTCTCACAGGATCCGTGACGAGAAGAAAACGTGAGCTTCTAAGCTTGTGGCCCCTCGAGGGACTCCACCACACTGGGCAGCCGTTCAAAAGCCATTGTTGGGCCAGTGATTGGCTGAGTAGAGGATGCGGGCGGCAATCACTGCCCCACCAACCGACGCAATCCCCAAAGAATGAAAACAACTTCAATACAAGTTAACAACACCAAAAAAAAACCTTAAAACAGCCCACAATACGAGCGGCCCGAATGCACAGCCTTTTTTGGACCTGAGAACTTGAGCCATGTTTTTTTACTTCAAGTTTCACAGCTTTGCAGCCCTTGCGGTCTAAAAAATTGATGGTTGCAGTTGCAGGCACCAAATTGCCGCTTTCACTGTTAGTTCCAAATCAATGGAGCCACCCATGTCTGCTTTAACCCGGTCAAAACTCCTGGGTTGGCACCCTGTTTAAAGACTTCGCGGGGCCCGTGCTTCAAACCAAACCAACAGCAAAGTTGCCAGGCGCAGGGGGCATTCATTGCAGGACCGGTTGTGATCCCAGTGCCCGGATGCAAGGAAAAGTTCCTTTTTGCAGTGGTGAGAATGGTCCACAAGGTGGTGAGCCAATGAGGCATGCCGGCTCGCGCCGATCCAAAAGTCTGTTCATTTCTTGCTCATCGGCCTTCTTCGAGAGGTCCCAATACTCTCCATTGGGCTTCTGCAACTCCATGTCAATTGCAAATCCGGGGCTGAGACCAAATTGGTTTGCCCTCGAAGTGAAACGTTCTGGATTATATATTTCAGCGACATGTGCCCTACTTGCACCTAAATGAAGCATCTCGCGGCTCACGTTCTTGCACTCTGCAAAACTGGCTTCTGGAAACATCTTCTCGTTGAGGAATGACGCTAACTCGAGATTGCAAATCGTCTCGATCACCAGCTGTCGAACTGGCGCTGGCATGGGACTCTTGTCCACTTTCTCTTCCTGCTCTTTGGCAGGGCTCGCGACTGCAGCTTCGCCTTTCGAGGATGAACTGGGTCCTCTCTCCAGCTCGATCTCCCCTTCTCTCGGAGGCTCACTTCCATAGAGATCGTCGAGATCCCCTCCTCCGCGCTTTGAACCGCGCGTGGTTTGAGCCTTAATTGGCTTTCTTGACGGTCGCATGTCTTCCTTTCTTGGTCGGAGATTCATCCCCTGTTGCACCTTCCGCCGCACGAGACACTGGAGGGGTCGACCGATCGAGTGGATCGATTCGTCCCGTTCCTGAACCTGGGACCGGCTGACCCACAGGGTCAACTCGTTCCTCGGGTTGTCCAACGGCATCTGATGCATGCATCTCTTCTGCCTCGTCGGGCATATCGGCCAACACTACCTTGGGAGCCGCTCCTCCCTCCTTTCGCTTCTGAGCCTTCGCCACCCTTTCTTTGCCTTCGTCGGTCGCCATCAACCGATTCTGCACCAGGGTCCTGCACTCTGTCGAATGCGCCCTGGCTGGCAGCCCCACCTGAATCGCTATGCATCCAGGACATCCTGCCGTGTAGTTTCCTTCCACGTCACGACGTGTGACGTAGAGGTTCCTTGGCCCGCTGTCTCGAGCCACCGGCTCAGGCGTGAGCCTGCCTTCAGCTGCCGGGAGTTCAATCCGCACAGCGGCTGCCTCGACGTCCTCTTCGGACTTCGGCCTCATCTTCCAGGGTGTTCCTTTGAAGAGCTCCACGTCGGCCCATCTTTCTTCAACCGTCAGCCTCTTCAAGCTGCCTCCTTTGATCACGCCTTCTTTTGTCATGACCAAGGCATCTCCATTTCTTCCATGTGTACCGACGTACACTCCCATGTCCAGCTTTGGCGCCAAATCAGATCTTCCGGAGACATAGCTCTGGAGCGGTCTGAAATGCACTCGCTCTCCGAAGACAACCAAGGGTCGCCTCCATCTCTTACCTTTCAACCTCTCATATGGCGTGCGCCCGTCGGGTCCAACACGATAGCGCGAGATGAGGAAGCATGCATGTCTGGCCAGCCACGTCCAAATGGCGTGACGATCGGGAATGCTTTTCCCCAGCTTCTCCTCCAACGCGCTCTTCATGGCTCTGCACTGCCTCTTGGTCTCTTTCACGGCGGACTCGACACTTCCCGTGGACGGCTTATCGCCCGTTTTCCCCTCCTCGAGGGAAAGCTCTGTTTTAGCTGCCGCTTTGATGCTGTCTTTCAGCGCTTTGATCGACACTTCGTTGTCGCTTTTCAGGATGATCCTCCTGTAACCCATTTCGTCCAAACAGGACAGCGCGAAATTCGTGGTGAAAGCATCGGCTCCCTTGGCCGGGATGGTGGATGCACATAGCATCCCTGTACTTTCATCTTTCACCTGCAGGTTCGGAAGCTCTCCTTCCGTTCCCCTGCCTTCGCCCCCGAAGTAAAAGTAATCCAGGGACACTGTAGGCAATCCTCTGTCGTCTCGACTTGGGTTCGCCTTGCGCTGCTCGTGCAGCCCTCTGGCACGGATGCAGTGTCCGCACCATGTGCGATGGATCGCGTGTCCAATCGCCTCATGCTCCTCGATCTCCTCTGCAGTGGGAGATGTCGGACTCCTCAACACTTTTGGAGCCCTTGCTTCTTCTTCCATGGGGGCCGACCGATCCATCGGATCGATTCGCCCCTCAGGGTGCTCCTGCGGGTCCGGCCGGTCCAAAAGGACCGACTCCCCCCATCGGAGTCTTCGGACTTACGGTTTCACCTGCCGATGGAAACCCGCCTCCACTGCGGCGAGCTCCTCCATGGTCTCATGTCCTTCGGTCTTTCGCTCTGCCTTGCACCAGAGGTCAAAGCAGAAGATGCCCTTGTGCACGTACAGCTTCGTGGTGTCCCGGTTGTCCTTCGGGAACTTGCGCTTCAAGCTCTTCAGCGCTCTTCGAAGTCCTCGTGCGATGGGTCCATCCTTTGGAACGATGTCGCCTTGCTCTCCGTCCATGACAACCAAGTTGCGGGCTGTCACCTTGCTTCCTGAGACGAGCAACCTGTGGACGTTCACAAATCGACCGTCCACTTTCCTTCCATAGCCTTCTTCAGTGAGGCCGCGGATCGTTCCACCACCTTCGTCCGCGATGAGCTCGCCCGAAGCGGTCTTGTAGCTGGCGTCGTTGGGATCTCCAGATTCCATCCCCAACAGGCTCTTCAACTCTGTCGGGATCGCAGTGACGGCTGCACCTGTGTCCAAGTTTGCGGTTACCTTGACCCAACCGCTTTCGTCGACTGACAGCTCGTTCACCGCGAACGAATTGATCTCTCCACGGGTCAGCTTGACATTGTCCAGGTCCTTCTGCACCTCGTCACGGCGGCTCTGCAGGAAGTAGCGCTCGCGATCGATCTCGGAGTGGGCCATCTTGCACTTCACTCCTTTGCCACAGTGTGACCTCCGGAAATCGAAGCATCGCATCTTGTCGCGCGGGTGCTTCAGGTAGAACTTCTCCTCCTCTTCCTTGCGCTTGCGTGCCCTTGCCTTTCGAACACGCTTCTTCCTGGATTCCTTCTTCTCCTTGCTCATGGGTCGGTCCCGTCGGCGAAGAACATCTGTCCTCTTCCGGCCCATCACTCGCAGTTCGTCGTCTTTGGTCTCCACGGCGAACTTGGCTACTTCTTCCTGACTGAGCTTCCGGTACGTCCGTGCAGACTTGAAGAATCGGGAGAACTGGTGCTTCTTGAGCTTTCCTCGAGCCACGCGTTTTGCTTGGCCCGTGAAAACACGCACCATTCCGTCATCCATCTCCTGCACGGCTTCGGTCTCAATCGTGTTGTCTTCTTCCTTGTCGAATTCCTCCTCCTTCACAGGCTTTGAGTCAAACTCTTCATGCCATTCCTTGTCCATCCTGATTCTTTCGGCTGCACGGTCGGCAACTCCTTGTTGGCGATGTAGAGTCGCCTTCCTCCTCTTGCGTTCTTGACTCCACGCCAGCGAATGGCTTGCACCGGCCTTGACAGCTTGATAATACCGCGAATCGTGCCAACTTTGGTCGTTCAGGTTCTCCGCGGTGAGCTTAGGCGCTGCCTTGGCTTTCGCTTTGGTGACCTGGTCATCTCGGTGAATCTTCTCTTTCAACTTGTCCTTCTTGGCCTTCAACACCATGACCTCGGTTTCCAACTTTTGAACCTCTTCTTTCGTTTCGCATTCCTCGCACGCTGCCATCTTCTCGCGAATCGCAGCGTCGATGTTCGCCACTTCCATCTGTTCGATGGTTCGGTGCAAAACTGTCCCGGAGGATGACCCTGCGGGTCTTGATGGGAACTCGGCCGAACCAAAGGCTCGACTCATCTCTTCCATCACTCTGGGCTTCACCTCTGTCTCTATGCGGCTTGTTGAACCTGACGCTTGTTCCTTGGATCCGGATGCGGGGCCGGCCTGACCAAGGGTCTGACTCGTCCCGCCATCCTTGGATCCCGGGGGCTGGCCTGAACCAGAGGTTCGACTCTCCCCAACGATCGCGTCTGTCAGCTTCTCGAAGTATAGCAAGCGAAGTTCCTGCCTGCGCTTTTCGACTTGCTGCAATGTCTCCTTGTTCATCTTCCGCAAGCTCTCATCAGGGTCGACCTTCTTCCGCAACTTCTCCTTCACATCGTCCTTGTAAGCCTGGAAGGTCTTCAGTGAGATTCCCCTCATGAGACAAATCGTTTTGTCCACGATGTACTCGAAGTCGTCCGGCTTCGTCATTTTGAGCGCAGCTCGAATGGACTTCAGGTCCTCGTTCTCCAGGAACCTTTCCCAATCCATGCCGCACAAGTTGCAGATGTGTTCAACATGTCCTCCTTCGTCCAGTCCGCAATTCTGGCAGAAGCAATAGTCGCAAGGATTCATGCATCGATCTGCGTCCTCCAGCTCTTGCTTGATCTCCGGGTCGATCTCAATCTCCACTTCGAGTCCTGCGAGGCTTAAGCATCCTGTATCCATCGGCTCTGCATGCGGCTCTGCGGGGGACTCCTCCAGGTTGGACATGTGCTTGCCACCTTTGCCCTTCGACTTAGGATTAGACTTCCCGCCTTTCGGCTTCTGGTTCGCATTCGCTGCACCGCCGCCAGCGCTCCAGCAATCTCGAGCAAAATGCCCCGTCTTGCCACAGTTGTGGCAAGTCTTCGAACTTTGCGAACCTGAGCCTTTGGCCTGGGATCCTTGTCCTTTTCCGCTGCTTTGCCACTTTCCAATGCCCTTCGAGTCGCCCTTCTTCGTCTTGCCGTCTTTTCCTTTGCCTTTGCCTTTCTTGCTCTTTCCTTTGCCCTTCTTCTCAAATGCTCCAACATCCATGGGTTGTGGATCTTGCCCTCCGGGAGGTTGGCTTGCATCGGTCATTCGGAACTTAGCCCCGAGCCTTGCCTCGATGTACAGCACGATCTCATTGCGCACGTCCAGGTACGATGTGAATCTTGAGCGATTCAACTGCAAATGCTTTTCCAATTCGCCGGGGCACAAGTGTTCCAGCACCGACATGCGGATCTCCTCGTCGAGCTGATGCCGTGTTCCGTCCGGTCTCTTCTTGTGCTCGTACTGCCTTACCATTTCCTCCCAAGATTCGATGGAGTTCGACAGGTCTTCGAGCTTGCTCGCCTTGCTTGGGTTGAGAATGGCTCTCAACATTGCTCGTCTTCGGTTCCCGGTAGCCGGGTCAAATCTTCGTACCAGGCGTCGCCACGACTCCAGACCATTGTGCTTCCCAGAGCTCCGTACTATCTGGAGAGCTTCACGTTCACATAACGTCTGCAGCACCGCAAACAGCTGCGAGTTCATGCTGTCAACGTCCACGACTTCGCGTTCACTGGGGTTCAACGGGCCCCAAGCGGCTTTGATGTCAGCCGACATGATCTCATGGTCCATCTCCTCGGCCCACAGCATGATGTCTTCCAGATCCGGATGGATCGAGGTCACAAAGGCCTCTAGTCGAGTGCGCCAGTACAAAAATCCTTCCTCCTTTCCGTCGAATTTGTCCGGTTTCGCTAGTCCACGATTGTCGACCAAGCTCATAGTCTTCTTGGCGTCCTTCGGCACCTTGATGTTTTCGATGAGGTCCTGCTGCGACTGCGCCAAGGCCGTGAACGCTTGCCTCATACCTTCGAAGTGTCCTCCTGGATCGCTTCCTTGTGCCTGCTGAGCGTGAACCAGCATCTCAACTTGCCCTTGTAGTCGTGCTTCGCGCTGCTGTCCCTGGGTGACCTCCTGCCTCAGCTGTCGTACCACGTCGATCAGCTCTTGTGCACTCATCCCTCCAACCGTGGCCATCGATTCCGGTCGTTCAGGAAGTGGCCCAAATGCCCCCAAACTCGTCGGAGGGAGCGGATCCTGAAGATCTTGCGCACCAGGCGCCGCCAGCGATCAACTCGTCGCTGCTGGAGTGCCCTCTGATTCCACCTCCAGCGTGCGCCCACCGAAGCGGCGGACAGCACCCCGATGGAGGCGACAATCTCGGGCAGGTAAAGGCCAACCAAGTGGATCAAAAGCGCGGCCAACGTAACCAAGAGCTCCGCTACCATGAAAATGTATATGGACGCTCAAAGCTCGGCCGCTCGCGCTTATTTCCCTTGAGCCAAAAGTCGGGGTACGTGTATAGTATGTACATACCCTACATCCAAACAAAAGGATTGTTTGATCATATGTACACTGACTGTGGAGGCTTAAGGAGAGATTTGCTTTGTGGCTTATTGTTGCTTGTGGGTGTATGGTCGGTGGTATTGGCTGCACTCGCAGATGCAGCTACTTTCTCACAGCGTGTGAGTGTGCATTTCTTGCTCTGCCTCTCCCAGTTCAATCCAAGGGGCATTGGCGGTATTAGTCCAAATATGGTGGACAGGCAAGGTCTGCTCATGCACATCGTGCCAATCCTGAGTTTCTCCAAAGCTGTTGGACATGGGATCATTTTGTACAAAAATCCCATCATTGTTTAGCAACAGGCCACCCCATCCATCAATGGACTGCTGCTCAACGCTGACTCCTCAGCAAAAACAGCAGGTGGAGCTTCAAGTAGCTTGTTGATATCGTCCACCCATCATCTTTAGACGTTTGCAAATGATAGTACTTCGAACAATGAAGGCAAAATGAAGGCACTGCATGCACCAAGGGCACATCGCTATATGTGGCCTCAGCACCAAACACGAGGTGATCTCTGCATATACATACATGGCCAACAATCAAGGAATGGTTGGACTCCTTCAAACAATGCTCGTACTTTGCAGAATCAAGGAACAGCATGCAACACAGGACCGTTGCTGAAAGCAGAAGCCTCAGCTAAGGCTAAGCCAGGAACACATGCTTCCGGGATTCTTGTCAATGTCTGTCTGCATGTTACGACGACATACTTTGCCAACACTCAAACAACTTCTGGGCCCACTTAAACGATGATCGTACTTTGCAGAATCAAGGAACAGCATGCACCGCAGGACCGGCGCTGAAGGCAGAAGCCTCAGCTAAGACAGAAAAACATCATATCCTTCCGAGATTGTCTATGTGCACACCGTGCAACTGCATACTCTACCTCTACCAGCGCCTACTTATACGATGATTATGCTTTGCAGAATCAAGGAACAGCATGCACTACAGGACCGGTGCTGAAAGCAGAATCCTCAGTTACGACAGGAACACAGACATTCTTGTCAATTGTCA